CCTAAAATTAATTGTTAACTAATTAATTAAACATGCACTCGTGTTACAGTTATTAATTAAATGTATATAACTTATATATATACCTTAAAAAATGGAAATAATCTGGATTGTTGACTATTTTCGGAGTCACTTGTGACCTATTTGGCTGATTAATAAATTTATCAGCCATATATACTATACATCGTAGCACATTGTGAAAATGACGACTTATCGCCTCTCCAAATCGTCGAAAAATTTGAGACATGATTCGATTTCTTTCATTGTGTCTTAATAGGTAAAGTGTCTTAAGTACTTGTTCCTTTACAGTTGCACGAACAGTATGCTTAAGTCCACCATCTATAACTAGTAAACGACATAAATTCATAAAAGATGAAACTCTCATCCTAATTATATAATGACAAAATTACTTGATAACAAATTTTGCATAAGCTTATCTCGAGCTTTCTTTCCCTTTAGTCTTAGTTCATGAGTAAACCTATAATTTATCTCGCGCCTTTTATAAACTACTAGCCTTTGAAAGTATGATAAATTGGCATAATAAAATAACTACACGTATCAAAATATTTATATTTCTTATCTAATATGTGAACAGAAATGATTTCAAATGCCTAAAATAAAAAAAATAATGAGTTTAATTATTTCAAATCAAAGCAAGTCATAGCATACATTTTAATTAACACACACTTTCATCTATTTGGCGAATAAATTTATGATAATATTTATTTAACCTCATTCTATGTTAACAGAGCTCACATAACTCTCAGCTAAGCCTATGACTTGACTCTTACCTTATCCATCTCTTGACAAGCCTCATCCCTCTGCCAATATACTCAATTCTATTTTTTGTTTCCCAAATGATCACCCTTAATCTTGCTAATTGCCCACCTGATTTATTATTCCCAAACTGTAGTTCCCTAAAATCAGATAGAATATGCTTTTCCCACATACCAAATTTTCTCCTAACTCACTCAGCCCCTGATTTCCCTTATACCCGATTAACACCTTCCTCATCTGCAAGTTATAGCTTCCCTAATTATCGGCTTCATTCCCCCATCACACAATGTAAAGAAAACTAAATTTTAAAAAAATTTAGGGCGGGTTCGGTTTTGGCAAAACTCACATCGAACTAACCCCATTACCATCTCTAAATAGATTTATTATTATGTTTAATTCATTAGTGCTTCAAACAGAAACTAGCTAAATGTAAACTTGGTTTAGTCTTGATAGTTACATCCTACAAGAAATTAATCATACTAACTAAACCAATTAATGGAACAAGGGATGACAGTTCGAGTGTGTAGCCAGGTTCAACAAGATTTGCCACTGATGCCACCTCCCCTAATTTTTCCTAATAAGGTGCAAAAAGAAATCAGTAAGCAGTAAAAGAGTGGTGCTAACAAGGTATTACAATGAGGTATTGGAGATATTCAATGAGATGCAAATAAAGAAAGTTAGGCCTAAAAAATTTATCTTGTCAAGTGTTCTGGCTACTTGTGCTAATCTAGGGGCACTTGATCAAGGTAGGTGGATTCATGCTTATGCAAGAAAAAATTCTATCAAATTGGATGCAGTTTTAGGGGCTGATTTAGTGGACATGTATGCTAAATGTGGGTGCATTAACTTGGCTTTGGATGTTTTTGAGAATATGAACGATAAGGAAGTTTTCTCTTGGAACACAGTGATGGGAGGACTAGATATGCATGCTAGAGCGGATGATGCTATTAAGCTCTTCTTCAAAATACAGAGGGAGAGGGTATTGAGACCAAATAGGATTATTCTTGTCTGTGTTTTAAATGCTTGTGATCATGTAGGATGGGTTGATAAAGGTCTAAAGATATTTAATTCAATGCAAAAAATTTATGGTGTTGAGCCAAAAATGAAGCATTATGGTTGTGTGGTTGATCTGCTAGGAAGAATAAGGCTCTTGGAAGAGGCAGAGGAGCTTATTGCCTCAATGCCAATGAAGCCCAATGCAGCCGTTTGGGGAGCACTTTTGGGTGCTTGCAGGATACATAAAAATGTTGAACTTGGTGAAAGAATTGAGAAAATCTTGCTTGAGATGGACCCTCTAAATTTGGTAAAAGAATTGGGAACATTATGCAAAGGATAGGAGATGGGAGGATGTTGAAAAGTTGAGAAAATTGTTGAAGGGAAGGGGTATCAGAACAACACCGAGAACTGGCATCATTCATGAATTCAAAATGGGTGATGGATCGCACCCACAAGTGAAGAAAATTCACATGATGCTGGTGAAAATCATTGAGAAGTTGCAAATAGAGGGCTATTCACCAAATACCTCTCAAGTTTTATTTGATGTTAGTGAGGAGGAGAAGGAAACTGCATTGAAGTACCACAGCGAAAAGCTTACAATTGCTTTTGGATTGCTTAACACAAAACCAGGTACTCCAATTCGCATTATCAAGAACTTGAAGGTGTGTGAAGACTGTT